TTAATTTATCTTACTTATTGCAATAATCATATAATTACAACAATGAACTGAATGAACACAATATTTAAAGCATTTGAAAACATTAATAAATATAGAAACTCTCATGTCTGCATACTTTTAATACTTCTATGTGTAATTTTGTACAGTGTTGTACATGCAGGAAAAGAGAGATTAATTAAAAAAGGGTGAATAGTTTATTTACAGAATCATTTTGTTTCTAATAATAACACAAATACTTTAATAGTCCATAATATTCTTTCTATAAATTATAAATTATACTTAATTTAGAAGTATAGAATAGTTAATCAAAATTAACTAGTAATATTATATTTATGCATATTTCATATATTTTTTTAAATACGATGATTATTGTAAGAAATCTTAAGCTCAAAGTTATTTTATAACTATATTAGTTTTTCGATATTTATAAATGGTTTGTCAATCATTACCAATCAACTACCATGAATCTGTAAATCACATGTATTTTAAATAGAATTGTAACTAATAACTATACAGTTCCATATTATAATAGAAAAAAAACTATAGACTTAGCATACAGAATAATATAGCCAGACTTATGTACCAATTATACTATACCTAGGTTTCTATTTTTTAAGCTACAGTTAAATTTTTTTTTTTGAAAATTTATAACTTCTAACTATGAATAATTGAATACCTAGTTGGAATAAAATAAGAAAAATAATCATTTATAATTTTAAAACTGCAATATTCCAAATGTATATAGCAATGGCTGTTGTCCTGTTGATCCTCTTCTATTTCTATTTTTGGAGCGATCACCACTTACGATTATTATTTTAGACTCCAGTGTTAGTAGATACTTAATTCGTACATGACCGTATAGGCAAACGATTTAAAGTATTTTGTTAATGACATTTAAAATGTAAAGCTATGTAAAAATAAGAATTATCATATTCCTCATATTATATATATGTATATTAGATATATTATATATATGTATATTAGATATATTACATACGAGTATATAAATGAATAAATATAGAATATACATATATTATACACTTTATAGTATATTGTACATACTATATATTATACACTACATAGTATATTGTATAATGTGTATATACTTATATGAAATTGTGAAACTTATGTTTAATAAATTATGACGTACCTTTATAATGTATTTAAATATATAATATGAAAAATTGAAAAATTGAAAAACGCGTTTATTTATTATAGACTATAACCTATATACCTACATCCCTTTTAAATATGTCTCTTAGAAAGGAGTATCATATCGTTTACATTATTTTTAATAATATTTTAAATCATTTTCCATTTCTCGACAGTGATGTATAAATAACACAATAATTGTCTGTTAAATATTTATACCTTCAAGCATTGTACTAAAGTGCGTCTTACGCGTAAGCGTATATACGAGAAATACAGATCCCTACTAAACTTACTCAATTCTTAAATACTTATAATCGATATATGATCTAGTTTCAAGCTCTCAAAGTATACAATGTGTCCCTTGAAGAAATGTAGTATTTACTACTAACTATACAGTTTTTATTTTATTTTTCTAAAGAATAATATCTTGAATGCCTTAAACATTTGGTTTTCTAAGCTCATTGTCCAGTAATTATTATCCATTATTGACAATAATAACAATTACGAAATTTGTGTCACGTTTAGCAGTGGTATCG